ATCCTGTGACTGAGCTTGTCGCACCGAACGGCAGTGCCAGGGATTCGAAGAACATGACGCGATCGTGATCAACATCCAAGACTGCGAGCACCGACGCCCACCTATCCTCAGGGTGGCACGCAAGCTGCTTGTAAGCACTTTTGAGATCTAGAGCCCTTCCTCGCAGGAGTCTGGACCTCCCATTCCGAAAGTCATCGTGTAGCCGTCCCCTGAACACAGCGCCGTCCTGCGCTGGGAGCTTGAATTCTGGCACTCCCCTGGCGGTCGCTCCTCCGAAAAAGCGTGCCACTGCCAAAATTTCATCGACCCCATCGAGAACTATCTTCTCCGACTCGGAGACAGTAGAGTTGACCATGTATTCGGACAGGTCATCCACTGCTCGGATTTTCTCTCCTTGTACTATGCCGAACCTCTTCGACGCGACCCAATCGGGGCCAACACGGGCATCGATCTCCGAAGAACTGAACGGTCCGCGAAGCCACCCCTTCTGGGCCTGGTCGAGGGATTCTTGCCAAACAGCTCTCGCCACGGCTTTGTCCTTGGCCGCTTTGCGACATGATGCCGCGACAAGGTGTTTCGCCCATTTCGCCGTCTTCCGAAGGTCAAGGCTGCCACCTTGCATTTGGGAGGAAACTGCCCTGATGGCACCAACTCACCCGTGACGCAGAAACCCGAAGTCATGTCATGGAACAGGTTTTCGTCTCCCACACAAGCATCTCTCAGCATCTCTTTGAAAAGAAGAAGGTTTTTCGGCTGCATCACCCCCCTGACGTCAGGATGCATTTTGGCTTTGAGGGCCAGCTCATCCTTTTGGAGGGCAAGCTTTCTTGCTCGGTAGTAGTCCAGAGCCGCCTTCCTCTTGGCCTTTATCCCTTCCACTCCTTCGGACAAGATGGTTGCAATCGCCCTCATATTCGGCGCATCCATCGACACGGGTGAATCAAAGGGATGGGCAATTTTCAAAGATTTTTCAAGAAAAAACTTCTGGTGTGTGAAAGACCGTACTCAACCTCGCGAACCCAAGATCCCCCTTTCAAAACCTCGCGACTCCACAACAACTTGGGTCTTATGGGGACACCCTGGAGGCCGTGCGGCGCATCTGCGGGTATCTCCCGCGGTGGATCCGCTGCTGCCGGAATGGTCATTGCCACTCGCGTGGCATACTCTGGAGGACCCACCGGTCCACGGCCTTTGCGAGGCTGCTTTTGCGATGCAATGGCTGCGTGCGCGGCTGGAGTGGCGTCCGGCTCATGCATTAACGGAAAACCTTTTTCCTGCAGGGCAATCGCGATGTCCCGCGCAACTGCTTTGCAAAACTCAGGCGGATACGCCGTCTCCTGCGACGTGGCAAATGCCCAACCCTGCTTGGCCTTGATGGGCCCCCATTGCAAATGAACATGGTTGCCTGAGCAGACCTTGCGCATTCCTGGCAACCTGATGCGTGAGGTTCATGCCAGTGGCCAGTCTGCAGAAGGGAACGAAACCACTTAGTTTGCCACATCCATGACGAGGCTGGGTTCTCCACTACAGAAATTCTTCCGGCCTTCTGTGCATACGACCAGCCCTCACTTGCAAAGGCATATAAAGCATTTGCGCTGGCTACCTTAGCCTTGGCCACACCTCGCAACCACGGGAAACCCTCAGGGAACCTAGATCCCCTAAGGGGCTTAGGGGTCGGGGCTCCGGCCTTGCGCGCTTTGTTGTTGATGGGTATATTCCTGGCTTTGCTGGCTGTGACTTTGACTTTCGAACGCAAACAGTCCACTGTTTGGCGTGACACATCCGGCTAAGCCTGGCTGCAGTGCAGCAGTGTGTTAGAAAGTGTGACAAACTCCAGCTATACAGGAGTTTTGGCATCTGAGATGCCAGTTTGCACAAACACCCCAACAACAACAACAACAAGAGAGCAAGTCAGGCACTACCCTATAGCCACACAGCACTCAGCACACTCAGTACAGCTCCAAGAGCAGTTGATGAGAGCCATTCAGCTTTGGCAGCCACATCAAAGCAATGCGGATTCGAAGCAATTGATGTACAGGTTGCGCAACAGCCAGGAACATACGAAAGCATTGCACCCGGTCAGAAAGACACTCAGCTGCCACATTCCACGATGACGCCCATCAGGGAGAGAGCAGCACATCCCAGCATCAGCAGTCCAACCGAGGGACCAGAAGAAATGTCATGCCCCTATGCAGCCAAAAGATGAGCGTACCTTCCATCTGAGCAGCAGTGAGTGCCTCATTGCAAGCTATGTCAATACTGAACCGAGAAGCCCAGATCACTGAGCTTCTGTCTATCCGATGCCAGCCACTTGTGAGGATCCGCCACAGCATACGCAACTAACAGCACACGATTTCCAGCCCACTCCATTGTAGCATGAAGAACATGTGGATTCATGATTATGTACGGCTGTGTGATGTGGATGATGCGGCCGGCCTCGGAGTCCGCTGAGCGTGTACGGGCACGTTTGTTGTCAGAGACCCACAAGCCTCCACCGCTCCGCCGCGTGCAAGGAACCAAAAGGTTTGGCCTGCCATCCGCGTTATGTGTATCAACATGTGGTGACATCCTTTGATTGCAACGCAGCGCGACTGCGCTGAAGACATGGTTGTGGCAGCAGCCACGCACTACTGCCACAAGTAGTCTGGTTACCCACGGAAAATCCATCGTTGCATGCATGATGCCATGAAGCCCGCCCAACGCAAAAGCACCTACTGCGTAGGAGAGTTGCATCCTGCCTTGTGGATCCACCATGACACAGCCTCTGCGCTTGCCCTTCCGAGAGTCCGGAAGAACGTCAATAAGCTGTATAAAGTGCGTGGAATGCATGGAGCCCCTGTGTAGGAGTCTATACGCCAGTAGCTCAGCAGGATGGGAAGGCAACTGAGCGCCCAATAGCGGAGGCACATCCAGGACATATGTATGACCCTCAGGAGGTAGACTCCAGTACTCCACAGGCAAAATAAGCTGAGAACCCCAAACAACATTCGTACCGACAACATGGCTACGCAAGAATTCCTCGGCTTCCGAGAGCATGGAATCAGCAGAGCGGCATGAAGACGCAGGCGTCCCCGACTCATCACCTTCCCAGTGATCCGATGGCTCATCACTAGAGACATCATTCTGCAACCTGCCGCCACTCCACGCAATGCCCAAAATGGACGGGAGTTGCAGTCGCCAAATGTCCTCATCTACGCCTTGTGGCACAATCGGTACACCCTCAGCATCAAAGGCAACATCATGAAACATGGAAGCAGCCTATTCCCCCAGCCGCTTGAACAAAAACTGTATCGTGTGGCCACAGCTCATCTCACTCCCGGCGCAGAAAGAACATGTATGCATGCTCCGCAAGACGATCACTCAAGGACACTTTCTCAGGTGGCCGACTGTCGTCGGTGATGCTCATTTCCCCTGCATCGGAGTAGGCCATCCGATAATGTCCTGACACGGAAGTGGGACCAATGTGTAGCACGATGGATTTAATACCATAGGGGCACCACCTGAAATCATCGGCATCGCCAAGCACTGGGAGTAGAAGCCTGCCCTCATTGTGAGAGATTGGTGTGAGATCCTTGTGCACAAACGGACCACGCCTGATAAAGCGGTCCAACTGAATCACAGCATAAATGGCTCCTGCATCCAACACATGTAGAAGTATCTGCTCATGCCACGCCTGAACACAGTCCTGAAGTGTGCAATATGAAACACCCGCCGCGTTGCGTGTGGGAACCAGTATGCATCCCCTGCCACCAAGATCTCTAGGAATTCCCTCCATTTGAGAAAGAGCATTGTTAATGACCTTCCATGAAGATAGATGGCAAAGCGCAGCATCAACCTGGACAAGATGCAGGCTGCGTCATGTTGTCTCTGAGGGTCTTGCCACTGCAGGGTGAGTGGTGCTAGCCAGATCACATCTGCTTGGCGAATTTATCTCCACAAGATACGCTGCTTTCGAAGATCAAGCTTGACCATCGGAGAACGCGCGCCCGTGCGGGGTGTGAAGTGGTCCACTCCCAACGTGTCAATGGACCAACGCCTCAGTGCGACTGACAAGCCTCCGCTGCCACAAAACACTTCCAGCGCATACGGTCTCGAGGCCGGCCTTGCACGGGGCATACTACTGTCTACGTTCAACTTGCCCTGAACCTGGGGCTGAGCCGGACCCGATCCGTTGTGGCGCCACCGTTGGAATCGCCGGCGGATCCGGAGGAAATTTTGGCATCTGACTCAGGCAATGCTTGGGAGCCAGAAGTTCGCCACACGGGGGGTCAGGAGGTCTAAACCCTAAGGAACTAAGCAACCTTAGGGACTCACTGCCGAGTTTGTGCATGTTATACGCAACAAGCACCACCCTCGAGCCCACCCAAGGCTCCGTTGCATGAAGTGATGACGAGTCAAATGAGACAGGACCTGCTGCTACATCCAACAAGACACCCATGCGCTTTCGGCCCGGTATGAACGCTCGACGCCCCCTTGGCTCGATTCGACCCACACTGAGCCTCCCTGGAAAGAGGAAAGCGGCAGGATGCGGTTCATGAAACGTTCATCATTGTTGGAATCAATATGTGGTTCCGCCTTCGTAGCAGTAAACACAGCCACTGAGCAAAACGTGGCAGAGGGGAAAGCTTCCCTGATCAAGGCGGTCAAAATCCTAGTGCTTTTCGGAAATAAAGAAGAATTATGCCTCAAGCCTATTGCCCCATCCTTAGCCCAAGCACCGCTAGTGAAGGATCGCGAAGTGCAGCCTCTCCACCCCTGGGCGCCCGCTCTGAAGGAAGAAGGCGCACAAGCTCAAGGACCTGACTCCTGGATGGGGCAGATTCAGACATTGAAGCGGCCAGCTTTTCAGCCATCCCTGGATCATAGTCAGTAGGGGAATGGCCCCTCGGCAAGCCCCTCGCATGGAAAATGAAACGCACTGTCTGGTCTTCGCCAGACTTGAGGGTAACATGCACATCTGACTCCTGCATCGAGTCTACCTTCCGCTTCCTCCCAGCTAGTCAGGCTGGGTGATTCAAGAAGGTATGGTCGGTGGCGAGACCAAGATTGTGGTCGAAACAAAGGGCTCTCCCATTGTTATCCTTCGCCACGCCTCCGAACAGGCCTTTTGGCACGCGGTAGAAAACCTTCCGCTTCTTCTTTGCAGGTGGCTTGGTCTCCTCCTCACCGGCCGCCGTACCCCTGGCCTTGGCCTTCGCCTTGGGCTTTGCCTTTGGTTTTGGCTTCGGAGCAGGCTGATTGGGAAGTCCTGGCACATTCACCGCCCAGCCGATTGTGCTTTAGGGCGTGGCATGAGCATCCATTGAATCGCTGGCAAGGCAAGAACCTGGACTATCACATCGTCCAGTGGCATGCCTCCTGAGGCCGTAGGTGTCAAGCCTGACCGTGTCATCTCAGCCAGCGGACATGAATCTCTCTGTCCACCATCTGCATCTGGGAGAAGGACACCGGATGATGGCCCGGCATCACGTCACGCTGGTATTCCGCAAACAAGGTGTCGATGGGCTTCTCATGGGCCGCAAAGGACATGATGGCTGCCAGATCATAGGCTAGCCCACGCCGACGCAGCGCTTGCATGACCTCGAGGTCAGAGCCGGTCGACGCCTTCAGCCCGGATTCGGGATCTCGCAAGAGGACTGCCCCTTCCTTGGAACTTTGGAGGAGCTTCAATGACGAGTCTTCCTTCACAGCATTCACCTCCTGCGCACGCGAAGTACATTGAAACCACTCGACGTATTTGATCCTCTGCTCCTCCAGCATGTGCGCTGCCTGATTGACCAAGGCCTGCCGAGGGCTCCAACTTGTCCACCAGCTTCAGAGGCTTGACCCTCTGCTGAAGAATTTCGTATCGGGCAGCGAGCTCGACCACTGGCAGCTTACGCGGTTGGTCAGACTCCTGCACCTCTGCAGTGCGCTTGAGCTCCGCGGCCGTGATCGCGAAAGCTTCGAAGTGGAGTCTCCTCAGCTTCGGCACGTGCTCTTGCTCGCTTCCCAGTACAGGTTGGCAGACGATGCTTCGAAAATCTGAGTTGGAGATTTTGCCCGGATCACCGGGGACGGCAAAAGCAAAGGTGCCGTACGTTGTCCACCCCTTGGCAGCCATTTTGGTTACCGCTTCCTCAGGCAGCTTGAGTTGCTTGCATTTCGCTTTGAAAAGCGCCTCCGAATCCACAGCCGCCATGACCTGAACTGGTCTACCCGAGCCCAAAACTGCAGAGGACCAATAAGCGCTTTCAGTCATCGTGAGGTGACGCGGATTCAGACCCCCTCATTTCAGGTCACATCCATATGCACTCACACGAAATGCGCCAGCTCACCTTCCCCCAGAATTCACAATCTGAGCAAGGTGCATTGGACTTTCTGCTCAGCCTCATCGGCCCGCCCAGCAGGAGCTGCATTTGCTCAAAATCACAGCAGGTAACTCATCGAGACGCTCATAATTAGCGTTCGCTATCCTGCCACACACCACAACTGACAATTCACCCTCATCGTCGGGGTGGTCTTCTCTGGAAATATGGACTACCCTACTCGATTTGTGACGGAAAACAACTGGCATTCGGCTACTGCTGTCTACACGCACAACTGAGCCAAGACCCCCAGCATAAAAGGAAGCTTCTTCAAAATCGTCAGCCGCCTCCATTTCGGGCGCTTCCGAGAAGACCTCCGAAGGGGGCTCAAGGTCCGAACTAGCCTCACCTGACCCATGTTCAGAAACCTTATCAACGCTCCCTCCAAGTGCCGCCACGGCAGCTTCGATGGATTTAGTTGCGCAGTTCCATCTGCCTGCCCTGGTTGCATCAGGCGCAAAAAGGCCTGCCGCAATAACTGCGAACATGCTCTCACAGAAACGCAGGACCGGAGCAAGCGTGTCCCTCGAATACTCAAGTGTAGACCTAGCGCGCCCAACATGATACCCTGCAATGGACCTCAGGTGTTCCGGGGCTCCCGCCTTGGACATCCATGACAAGATGGTACACTTGAGGGAATGAGTGCCAATCTTTTTCTGCTGAGGTGCATGGCCTCCCAAGTGTTCTAGCAACTCCCTAACACACAGGGCACCTTGCGAGGCATCCATAGGCAAGCAATCAAAGCCCGCTTTCCCCAGCAACGGTCTGGGCATCATTTGGACACCCCTGCCCGCTCTGAGACTCGCAAGTTTCCGGCGCCGCAACCACTCCGAAGCCCAATCCTTGTCGCTCAACCCCGGCGTCAAGCACGACACTGGCAACAGGCGGTGACGAAGCAGCGAACTCCTATTAGCCGTCTTGTGATGATAAAGCGAAGCCTGAAGGTAACCCCTCCCTTCATTCAAGTCAATCTCTGGCTCAGCTTCAGTGCACTGGGCATCCGACCAACGCAACCTGCCATGAAGGACATAGAGAACGAAGCCAATCACGCAAGCTTCCTCCAGGTCTGCTTTAAAGATGGCCTCCTCTAAGGCATGCACTTGCGCAACCGTCAGAGGATCGCACTTTGACACAGGCTTGAATGATGCAGACATGGCAACCTCATGGATTCTCGAGGACTCTTTGACCTGCGAAAAATCAAACCCCAAGAGGGCCCCTGCAAAATTCACGGCCTCAGATTTTGGCGCACCTTCGGAACGCAGGAAACAAACGTACTCGTATGCATCCTCTTCATCCACTGGAAATGCAGCGGGGTCTAAGCCGGCTGAATTCCGCCACCTGACATAGTGAAGCAAAGCTGACGCCCTGGCTTGCAAAGTTGCCGTAGACTTGCACAAGAATACATCATTGACAATCTGCATGACCCTGGCTTCAGCATCTGGAATCTCCTGGGCTTTCAAAAGACTGACCCCCACCTTAGTCAGGCTGCCGGCTGACAGTAGCAGGGACTTCCAGGTCTCCAGCACTTTAGACCTGAGGTCATCATGCTTGTCTGACCAAGACCTTGCATGAACCACTGAGGCTTTCCAGGGCCTGGCCTTCAAGACAGTCTTAGGAGTGGGGAAGGGCACACATTTTTGTTCTTCAAGGAATCTCACAGCGCCTGCCTGCGGCCAAGAAAGTTGTGTCCTCCTCTGGTTTTTCTTATCGGAGAAAATTTCCCCCAAAAGACCATCCTGCATAGGCACCGTAAACCCGAAATCAGGAACGGCTAAGGCTGCTTGCCTGGCATTGGGGTCGTAAGGAGAGGAGAGGGCCCTAATAAACTGAGCGCGTAAATCCCCCCATCGAACAACCCCGCTTTGCTCCTGGTCTCGTGGTTTGACCTGCGAACCTGCTGGCTGACCTGCGGACGCAGGGCCGTGGCCCGCTGCGGGCTGCGCAGCTACACTGGTGGTGCCCTGAACTGTTGCTTCATGAGTGGAACTAATCAGCTTCCATGGATCCTCTATGCCGCTCGCCGCTGAAGTGGCATTATCTGCAGCAGGCTTTAGAGCCTTGACCTTAGGGGTAGGAGCCGTGGGAATCGGCGTTCGACCTGACATGGCAAATCTAGGCCGGCAGGCACAAGTGATCAATCAAAACCGTGCAATTGCAACCGCCGTTCTAATTCCGCCACACGACGGCCAACCCGTGTAACGCTGATCTCGTGTGTAACCGCCTCCGCACTGCGATACTCAACAGCACGGCGCGTTGCCTGTAACTCGGTCTCGAGAGCAAGCACTTGCTGAGCAAGACCTTCCTGCTGCGTCTGCAAATGCCTGATGGTGCGTTCCAAACTGCTACGCTGATGCTCAAGATTCGAAATCTTATCCTCCTGAAACTCAACAGTTGAAACCAGGCCACGAATCTGTTGCTCCAGTGCAGTGACGCGATTAGCAGTTGCAAACAAATGCCGCGACAGCAAGCTCTGAGATGATGCGGAACTATCAGGTGAAGCTGGCTCCGAACCACAATCCCTGTCCTGATCGCCCACGCAATGTTAGTCACTCCTGACCCATCTGCCAGCCCACTGGCCAGCGTGCACGGGCCCCTAGCGGGCAAACTTACAAGCTCGGGCCACTAGAGAGCCTTTACCGCACTAGAAGTAGTACGGACTCCAGCCTCACAAAAATTGTCTGACAGCCTAGTCAGAGCTTGAGGCATGCGCGCAACAACCAACATGATGTTCCAAAACAAATTCCAAGTCAAGTCACTGCGTGGCAACATGACATGGATTTTTCAAAACTTGATTTTGGAGAGGAAATTGTGAACACCACAATTTTGGAAATCCCCAAAACCAAAACATAACAAAGAGACGTTTTTGTAAAGGACGGTGCCATAGCCTCATAGCACCTGTTTCGTTTCGTACGCAGCTAGAAAGTCCTGAGTCGGTCCTCCTAGCCCGCGTTGGGGCAAGTGCGCACAATGCACAGGTGGCATTGCACGGCTACAGTGTAGCTAGTACTAGAGTACTCCACTACCGGTACGACTGTCATGTAGTCCTAGCTACCGGTGCCCTACTCTGGCCACTGCCAGTATGCAATGCCGAAGCACACACAAATGAGTCGCTGCACATGTTGTTCAAAGAAAGGTTCAAGTTGAGTCTCAATCCGTTTCGGTCATGGCGCAAGTGCGAGCACCACAGTCCGGGGAACCGG